TTTCTATACAGATCTTCAAATCGAATTTCTTGAAACGTCAACTCTATTAGCGTGATTTGAGAGACCCACTTCACTTCACCTTATGTAGGTTACGCTGATAAATTAAGACGGACTGCCTGAGTTGAAAGTGCAGCGCTTTCTGTCTTCAATTTTTTTAACGCGAATTGCTGCCAACAGAAGTCAAGGAGCTGCAACTGCAACTTCAGCATCTGCGCCATTTGGCCGTTGGCGCCATATTCTCCGCGAAAAGATTGCCAACAGCTTCCACTTGAAATAAGAGCGAAAATAGTGCGGAAGTCCGCTTTGGATTGCCGTTTCACGTCTCGCACCTCGACGGCTTCACTGCAGGGCATACTATCTGTCTTGTTAGGTTCTTGAGGATGGCAGCTGTCGGACTTTATGCTAAATACATTTGCTCCAAGGGAATGTGGAAATTAAAAATAGCTGCGTGTCAATCGCAGTTCTTTTGGCAGCAGCAAGTGAGGCGCCAGCTACTATATATGCCCATAATAACTGAATTCAGTTATATAAACAATCCCGAAACAATCTCATTAATTCTGCTCATCTCTGGCGTCGTTAGTTGAGCGGAAAGCCAACTCAATTACGTCTGACTGCAATAAAAGGCAACATTAAGTGCGACTAGATAATTAAAACATTTCAGACTACGCAAGATGCGGCGGAATTCCTGCAATTTGGCAGACGAAGTGACAGACGATTAGATTGCCAAATCATCACGCGTTTACATTACGTATACGCACTGGAGATGTATATTCCAGATAGCCTGGGAATTCTACGTTTGAAGGAATACAATAGAATTTAGATTACTAGATTAAAGATGAGTTGTAGCAAATAGGTTTTGGAATGAATACTGTTTGATCAGGGGAACTATTTGTGTGAAATGTTGAACATTTTAATGTTGAACATTTTATATATGTATTATTTAATGATTCAGTAAATTTATTATGTTTATTTAATTTATTAAGAGTTTTCGTTATCATTTTTTTTTTATCGAAATAACAAGCAAATAGAAATAAAATGTATTAATATAATTTTTTTTATTTTTTTCTAATTTTTCATTTTAAAAAATTTAATTTAATTTAACATAAGACCCTTAAAGTCCATTGGACGTTCCCGAGCACTTCTTTTATTACGAAAGGTACACTGAGCACACAGAAGCCGTCCGAGATGTCAAAGTATACACTATATATAGTATATATGTATAACACTAATTATATGCAAAGACAAATATTCCTGCTGTGAAGTGAAGAGACTGAGGCACACAGAAGGGTTTCATCTTGAGGATTAAAGATGACGCTGCGCCGCTGCACAGGAGTGAAAGAGTAAGGTTTCTTTACTCGGTAAGGAGCAGAGGCAATCCGAGATACCAGTTAAAATGAGGACCTGGCTTACGGTGCATAAGACATCGCACCGTGCAAGAAAAAAGTATTTACAGAGTCTGTGCAGACTTTATGTTTGAAATAAATTAAATATAAATTTACAATTCTTATATATGTATATTTAGCACTGAATCAACAACTTTCAGATTTCCGAATACTAAAAAATATATATTTAAATTATTTATATGCAGCAAATGCGGCTAGAACGATAGTAGTGTAACTAAAATAATCTCAATACCTAAAATAAGTATATATACGTTACTATTCATATTCATTTTGGTTTTTCTTCCAAATATGAAGTTTGTAACTTTCATCCGACAGTCGCATCACTATTTTTAATAGGCTATGAATATGTATTTATAATTCATGTGAACTCATTAAAAATTAAAAAAAATAAATAAATATAAATAAATATTAGCCGATATGAAACACAAATATTTGTTTCGAAATTAATGTCTAACCGCATTTTGACCGCAGCAAAGCTAATTAACAATTTAATTCCTAAAGTCATTTGAATTATGCATAATTTATTGATGACGAATTTTAAATTATTTCCCATGTCGCTTATTTGAATCGAAATTCACAATTCTGTATAGAAATTTTAAAAATATTTTTTGAATTTTAAACTAAATACCTCAAATGAAAAGAAAATCAATTGATGTGAAATTGCTTTAAAAATAATAAAAATTAATGCCTCGAAACAACTGCAAATAAATTTGAACAGAAATGCAAAATTATTGCTGCTCAAAAATTGAAATAAAAGCAGAAAATTATAAAAGCTGCAACTATTCGCAGCATATTTGATATAAAGTTTATTGCGATGTGATAAGCTCTCAATGCGACGACGCGCAATGTAAACATTTCCGATAATTGTAATTTGTTTATTTATTAATTTTATTTTATTACTTTGATAGTTGCAATTACTGTTGCAGCTGCAACTGCTGCCAGCCACATGCCACATGCCACATGCCGCATGCCGCATGCTATATGCTACATGCCACATGCTGCCAGCCGCAATATTTGTCATGAAATGTTATTAATTTATGACTGGACTTCCAGAGGCGCAAAAATGTGCTAATAATAAAGAGTCCAAACTAAAGCAACAACAACAACAACAACAACGGCAACCGCAACGGCGAAAAAAAATAACACAGTGAAATAAAAGCTTCGACGCACACTTAATCTAGTTGAGACTTGACAACCCCACCAAAGCGCGCCCCTTCTCTGGCCCCCGCCCCACCACCGCCACCACCCTAGTCCTGCTGTGGCGCTTATGTTTAATGCATGCCACAGTCAGTGTGGCAGTTGTAAACGTAACCAGGCAACAACTGCGGACAGCAACTATGACTGGTCTTAATCGCAATGGCAGAGCCAGTCAAGCAAACGCTCAGACCTGAGACTCAGGCGCTGACTCCGACTCTGCCTCTGGCTGAGATGGAGACGGAGACGTGGACGGAGGCAGAGACAGAGACGGAGATTGAGAGACCTGGTGCTACCCAGGCGATGGCCACAAGTGTAACTGCAGGGGGGAAAAACTCGTGAAAACCCAGAGGGGGCGTTCAATTCGCGTTGACTGTCGGGGCGGGCACTTGCTGCGTAGGGCATTCAGGGAGTGGGCCACAAACACACACATCTACTCATAAACTGTCGTCCTCGCACTTGGCTTTAATATTCAAATGGCAACCAACCTCAAGCAATTGTGGAAAACGCAACGCGACGCAGCAAATATCAAGCAAAAAAAATTGAAAAAGAAAACAACAAAAAATCCCGAAAAAAGCAAAGGAAAACTTGTAGATGCGACCGCGAAGAGCAACAGACGACGGCGACAGCGACGGCGGCGGCGACGCAGCGGCGGACTGAAGACGACGACACCGCTGACAGCTGGAGCACGACGTAGCGCAAAAAGATACGACACCACGCGGCACACACACACACGCACGCACGCACACTCTCACACGCGAAGATGGCAATTTGTTGTCCCGAGTCCCCAGAGCGACGTGGAGACTAACACGCCGCACAGCCGAAATTACACTGAAAGCGTTTCTGAATGTGAACTCCAGCAGCCGCTGCTTCTGCTGCTGCTGCTGCTGCTGCTGGCGCTGTCGCTGTCAGCGTCGCTGCTGCTGAGCCGAGCCGGGACCGGCAGGCCGGCAGATAAACCGAACAAACACAACGGGATCTATGGCAACCGAAGACAGTGCACGAGCGCCTCCGCTGCCTGGCTGCCGACTGCGCTGGGCTTGCCTGGGCTAGGTGCAGGGAGGTGGGCAGTCGTCGCGTCGTTCATGCAAAATAGCCAAATAGCCAGCGCAGCGTCAGAGAAATGTATTTTCGGCTGAGCGGCAGACAGAGTGCAAGAGCCAACGAGAGGGAGAGAGAGAGAGAGACAGCAAGCGAGAGAGCGCCAGCGAATGCATGGGAGAGCTTCATTGACAAATGCCATAGTGACGCGTAGAGAGTGCGAGAGCTTTTTCCAGGCAACTCTCACCGCGCATAGACCAAAAAATAACTGAAAACGGAAAAACTGGAAAACTGTTAATGTAAATGCCTTTCAACTCTCACGTAATGTCGGCAAGTCTTTAGCTTGTTTTCATGCACTAGGATAGAGTATTGCAGGAGATGTAGTAATTGTGTGGCAGCTGAAATTATTAACAGAAATTATAGATGAGAGATGAATATAAATTAATATAAAATTAAAAATTAATATAAAAATAAAAAATAATATATAAATTATAAATATAAATAATAATATAAAAATAAATATATAAATTAAATTATAATATAAAATTATAAGTAATTATAAATCATAAATTAATATTAAAATATTTAAGGATTATAGAAAACTCAACACAATAGACGTTTAAAATATTGACAAAATTAACTATAAATTGTGCGCATTTCTTTTTATTAATTGTATGATTTAATTATATTAATATAGTTAAAAATTTAATGAACATAATGGAAATATTTTAAGAGAAAAGTGTATAATAATAAATTGAATTAAATAATACAAACGAAATTAATTATATTTAAGGACATCTTAGAATTTTTATAGTAAGCCTACTATAGAATAAAAATTATTACATAATATTTTAAATATTAATAATAATATTAATTATATACCATCTACAAATCCATAAAATATTTATCGCTTAGTTCTTCTCCCACAACATATTTTAAGTAAGCGTATGCGAGAGTCGACGTTCTTCAATTAGTTGATTTCTTTTCTTTTTGCTTTACCTGCTCCCACAACATTCCAGCAAGCAAAGAGAGCGCATAGCATAGCAACAACAACGACAACAACAACTTGGATGTTTATGACGCTGGAAGATTGGCGAACCAGTGTGAAGTACTCGTAGAAACATTAATAGATGCATACACACACACACACACTCACTCACACATACACACACCCGCATAGACGCAGACTCAGTCACTGTGAGTTGGCTTATGATTTTTGACTTGTAATTGAAATTTCAAGCATTATTAGTTCTCGTTGGCTCAAAGCACGATGCTCCCAATGGACAACCTTTGCGGCCTACGCTCGGCGCGCAGCTGACTGGGCGCCAACTGTTGATTGGTATGTCAACGGCCGCTGGGACACGACCCCCACACGGCACAATCGCTGCTGCCTGCTCAATCCTTCCTCCCGCTTGCAGATGCCTTTATATATTTTGGGTTGGATTTAGTTAAGTCCTTTCGCTTTCATGGGCCATGTGGCCGCCTAATGAAGCGCTTTGCTGGTCAATAGCCGCCGGAGCCGAGAGCCACAAAATATTTTGCACCTGGCCACGGCTAAGACCAAAGGTTAAGTCCGTTGGGACAATCGCTTGTTGTTGTTTTCATCTACCAGCCCCCAGCTATGTATATTTATATACATGCTGCGCTGCCCAACGGTACGAGTAATGTAATTGCTTTCACAATTGAGCAATGAAATCGAGACACTTAAATTCCCCCCACACTCTCGTCGTTGTTGTTGTTGTTGCTCTTGATGTTGCTGTTGTACACGCTCCAAAGTAACCCAAAATATAAAAAGAAACTACAAACACCCAAGGCCTTGGGTAGCCAAACATGATTTGCTATTTTGCATAGGTTTTGATGACTCGACGAAAACGCTGCAGATATTAGCAAATAGCAAAGAGCATCGTGGAAAAAGAAAACTTTCAAGAAATAGGCAAACAAATAGGCAGTAAAACGTAATCCCACTAAAGTCCTGAAGCTCCTCCCCAAATCCCCAAACTAGCCAACGCATTTTCTGATGATTTACTTAAAAGTATTTGTAGCCAGGTCTTATGTAGTCATGGCAAATGCTTTTATATTAAAAAACAAACAAGAAAAGTATTTTAATCAATAATTTGTGTGGGCC